TTTTTTGCAAATTTTTTGTTAACAAATCAGCAAACATATTGTTAGTAGAAATGTAATTTAAATCAATTTTGTTGGCTTTATACATCTCTCGAATATGGTGGTATCTGACATCGATATGCTTGCTTCTGGCGTGGTACGTTGGATTTCGGACGAGGTGTTGCGCACTTTAATTATCGCTGTTGATTGTCATAGGTCCAGACATTTCAAAGCCAATTTCACATAATAATTTGCGTAAATACTCGGCTTCTTTTGCTGCTGAGGATAAACTAACATATTCGGCTTCCGTGCTACTTAGTGCCACGATGTTCTGTTTTTGTGATTGCCAAGAAAATACACAATTCGAAGCGATGAAAGATTTTCGGTCGGTGTTGTCACCAGCCCCATCGGCGTCGGCGAATCCTTCAACTAGCGCACCAGTCTTTTCGTAGTGCAATTTATATGATGCCGTACTTTTCAGATAGCGCAAAATATGTTTCAATGATGCCTCATGCTCACTATGGGGATCAACATTGCGCTGAGATAGCTTTACTACCGAATTTAGTATGTCTGATCTCGTTGACAATCCCAAATACATGAGCGCACCGACTAACGACTGGTATTTTGTAGTATCGACTTTTCTGCAAGAATCGTTTTTACAACTTACTTGGAAATTTGGTGGTAATGGCACTGTAGTTGGTCTGCAGTTTTCCATCTCATACTGCTTCAGCAAGGCTTCAATATATTGCCGCTGACATACAGTTACAGCACCCGTAGCGCCTTTCCGGTCAATTTCCATACCTAAGAAATGCTTCAGGGGGCCACCATCTACCACATCAAAATATTCGGCAATTTTTACCTTGATATCGTCAAGCTCTTGCCTGGAAGAGTTTGCTAACAATATATCATCAACGTATACCGCAATGATATTATACGTTTTTTCCCCATGCTTAGTATAAACACATGGTTCGGTTTCACCTGGTCTAAAGCCCATTGAACGAAGTGCACTATCAAGTTTCTTATTCCACTCACGGCCGCTTTGTTTTAGCCCGTAAAGAGCCTTGTGCAGCTTTAACACATGATGTGGATGCTCGTCGCTGATAAAACCCTCTGGCTGTTGCATATAAACTGTCTCATTCAGCTCACCATTTAAATACGCCGTTGAAACGTCCATTTGGTCGAGGTACATATTATATTCTGTCGCTAGTGCAATAATTAATCTGATCGTGGCGTATCGGACCACCGGAGAAAATGTCTCGTTGAAGTCTACACCTTGAATTTGGCTACACCCCTTTGCTACTAGCCGGGATTTTAGTCTTTCAACATCACCATTTTTGTTACGCTTTACATTAAAAACCCAACGACATCCGATCGCTTTGTGACCCTTTGACAACTCAACTAAAGACCAAGTACAATTTGCAACTAACGCTTTGTACTCCTCCTTCATTGACTCTCACTATTTGTCAGCATCTTCGCCATTCAACGCTTCGTTCACCGTTTCCGGTTTGGCGACATATTTTTGCTTTAAATCTCCTACTGTATTGAAACGCTTTCTTGGACGACCCGGTTTACCTGTCCTTTCTAATCTAGGCCTGCCTGGTGCTTTTGCTTTATCTTTGAGAAACACGTCATCATCCGAAGCGTCACTGGGGCTTAAAACGTCTTCCGCTTTTACTATGCGTGTTTCATCGTCACACGGTCTGCCTTCACACTGTTGTTGCGGCTCAGCTTCTAAATTTACAAAATCAGATGAAGTCTTCATCATGTCTTCGAGAAAAATAACGTCTCTATTAACAACAACTTTCTTAGTGGTTTTATCTACTAAACGATACGCTTTAGACTGCTCTGAATAGCCAACGAAAAACATCTCTTTTCCCTTAGCCCTAAATTTGTGCTTCTCTGTTGTATCCAGAGCTATGGCTGGAGAACCAAATATTCTGAAGTGTGACACTGAAGGCTTTCTATTGCTCCAGACTTCAAATGGTGTTTTATTTACAAGAGCTTTAGTAACCGACCTGTTGCGTATGTATGCTGCCGTTGTGATGGCTTCCGCCCAAAATGCTTCATCCAATCCGGAGTACACCAGCATACTTCTTGCCATTTCAACCAGGGTTCTGTTCGCTCTTTCAGCAATGCCGTTCTGTTGCGGCGTATATGGCACACTTGTCTGCCTCTTTATGCCATTTTCGTTTAAATAACTATCAAACGCCTGGTTCAAGTACTCGCGCCCGTTATCGCTGCGTAAAATCTTAATTTTCGATTCGGTTTCGCGCTCCGCATTTACTTTGAATGACTTAAAAGCCGCAAAAACGTCCGACTTATTTTTTAATAAAGTAACATGTATGTATCGCGACTTATCATCTATAAACCTGACAAAGTATTGGTAGCCCGAAAAGGATTTATTGTTCATAGGACCACAGACATCACTGTGGATAATTTCTAATAGTTTATTTGATTTCTTCTCGGATGATACAAATGGCTTCACACAGATTTTATGGCTTCATTCAGTTTAAGTCCGAGCACAATGTTCTCGTTTGCCATTTGTCTTAAAGCTGTAAAATTCATATGTCCAAACCGGTTATGCCATCTCATTACGTTATTCTCTTTATTATTGGCAAAATTGCACTTGTTTTCGTCACCTACTCGCCACTCAAACACGTAAAGATCGTTTTTTCTCTGAGCTCTTATTTGAACAAGTCCACTTTAATTTTTAATTATAGCGCCCGATTCGAAGAACTGCACTGCGCTTTTACCTGAAGTAATTCGTCCAACGGCCAAAAAATTATGTTGGAGAGCTGGTATGTAAAGCACGTTTTCTGCTGTCAATGTCATTGAGCCAACCTTTATGCGTATGTTACCGCGACCGCAAGCCTCGACTGTATTGTTATCGACGAGCCAAACTTTTTCAGCAATAGGAGATAAAAAGGTAAAGAACTGCCTCTCACAGCACATGTGTGTTGTTGCTCCACTGTCCAAACACCAAGACTTCCACGTTAATGCGGAACCATTTGCTGTTGCTGCTCCAACTAACATCGACAATTTGAAGTCTTTCGACTTCTCAAGCTCTCTACTGTCCCGTTATTTTCGTTTTGCATTCTGAAGCGAAGTATCCCCGCATACCGCAGTTGTAGCACTTTACACTTTTCTTTTTGATATTGTTGACATTGCCGTTTTGTTCATTCGACTTCTTTGACCTTCCAGCAAAATACGCCAGGTTACCGTTGCTGAGATTCGCATCTACCTTTTCCATACGTCGCTCCCCTTCTTCTATTAATTTGACTTTTAATGTGCTTAACGCTGGGAATGACTCGCGTGCTTCTATTGCCACTACAAAATTGTCGTAAGCCTCAGGTAAGCTGGATAACAAAATTATGCACAAAATCTCGTCTGTCAAATTTGTGCCAACCTGGGCAAGCATTTCTACTATGCGCGGACACATTGGCACCTTCCTGAAGTTTTAACGACATAAGCCTTTTGAACAAAGTGACCTTTCGAGCCGATAGCTAGTATTGGAAGTAGTTCATACATTTTGGAAGTAATGGAAAAATACACTTAGAGAAATATTTGGCATTGACTTTCAACATAAACGTCCAGAGAGACGAAAAAAAAATAAAAGCCCATATAATTATTATGAGAAGACGTAAATAATATTCGTCTTGAAATAAACGTCCCGAGAGACGAAAAAAATAAAAAAGTCCATATAATTATTATGAGAAGACGTAAATAATATTCGTCTTGAAATAAACGTCCCGAGAGACGAAAACAAAAAAGCCCATATAATTATAATGAGAAGACGTAAATAATGTGCGTCTTGAAATAAAGGTCCCGAGAGACAAAAAAAAAAAATAAAAAGCCGATATAATTATTATAAGAAGACGTAAATAATATTCGTCTTGAAATAAACGTACCGAGAGACGAAAAAAAATAAATATCCTATTTAATTATTATGAGATGACGTAAATAATATTCTTCTTGATATAATCGTCCCGCGAGATGAAAACAACTTTTCCTCTGTTCAGTAATAATTATTGAGCAATATTTAATTTTATTTCTTATAATCGTTATGGTCTCTGCTATTTATACATCGTGTGGAAAATTTTCGATGTATCGATGTTTTTTCGTCATCCCTATGTTATGTTTGGTGGTTTCTTGATTTTTCTCTTATCTGCTTTAGTTCGCTGACAATGTATCGACACTTTCTTTGCTTTTGACTACTTGCGGCTCTGTACTCCGTTGCGGTCTGACATATACTCTGCCTGAAAATTTTGGAACGTGAATAAGTTTGTTTTGCAAAGAAATAAAAAAGGTGAGAAAGTACCTTTCCACTGATACCTCGTAAGTCCATATCGGTAAAG